ACATCTTCAGGATGTATTCTCATGACTTTTTAAAAATTATATTGGCATTAAAATGGGATATATAATTTTTCTCTTTACACCTCAAAATGTACAGTTACTGAGAACCATCACAAGCAACAAGGTCACTTTGATATCACTGTAGTTATGATCTGCATCCTTTGTCCACATTGATTGGTTTTGGCCACTGTAAGGAGGGTGACTCCCAGGCTTCTGATATTGGTAACTGACATAGGACACTCTGAAGTAGGAGCAGATTCAAGCAGAGGAAAAAATAATAAGTTAATTTTTGGAAATGTTGAATTTGAGGAATCTGTGAACAATTCATGAAGTGCTGAGATGTCAGTTAAATATGCAGATATGGTGCTCTGACAAGAAAGCTAGGCTGGAAATATAAATTTGGAAGTCTTTAGAATATGGATGGTAATTGATGACATTGGAGTGGATCAGATCATGCAGGGAGAAAGCATAGAGTGAGAAAAGAAAGGCCCCAAAAAAGTCCTGCAGACACTAAAATATTATGGTTTCATGCAAGAGGAGGAGCTTAAAAAAGAACCTGAGGAGTGGCCAGGAAGTTGGGGAGATCCAGGAGAATGCCAAGAAAATCCAAGCATGCCAAGGAAAGAGTGTTTCAAGAGAGTAACTGCTGAATGCTGCTGAGACCCTGATTAATAGGAGAACTGAGAAGTGCCCATTGGTTATGGTAATATGGAGGTTAGAGTTGACCTTAAAGAGCACTTTTTGGGGACCAAGCTACATTGAGGTGGAGAGCCAAACTTGTCAAGTTTGTCTGTGAAGAGTAGGAAAGGGAATAGAAACGATAGGGGGCCTGGGATCAAGATAGAGTTGTTTTCGTTTTGTTTTGTTTTATTTAAAGATGGTAGAAGAGCTGGCTGGCTAGCTCAGTTGGTTAGAGCATAGTGTTATAACATCAAGGTCAAGAGTTCAGATCCCCGTATCAGCCAGCCACCAAAAAAAAAGATAGTAGAGATAGTATCCTCAGTGAGAAACAACTGAAAGAATTTAAAGATAGAGAAGAAAGGAACGGTGTTAATATTGTAGGTTTTTGGAGAAGTGGGAGGCCAGGGTGGGAGATAGAGCACAGGTGGAGGAATTGGCCTAAGAGAAGGGAAGAGAGAAAGGAAGGGTGGCTTAACAGTTGTAGGTTTGTAATCCAGAGCAGGACATTGCAGTGGTTCTCATCTGATGTCTTTTTCTCTATGAAGAAGGCACCATCTGTCAGGTGTTGGGGATAGAGTTGGTAGCTTGAGGAGAGTGAGGAGTATTTGAAGTAGTTGTTGAGATAGAATTATCTAGCAGTCTTGGGGGATCTGCTGAAGTCAGAACCTGAATTCATGGTAGTTCCAGTCTACCCTGTTGTGTAATTTTTTTCTAGTAGCACTCAGCAATCCACATCTGCACAAGGGAGTTTAGATTTCTTTTTTTCTTTTTTGGCGGCTGGCCAGAATTGAACCCTGTACGTTAGTGTTATCAGTACCTCACTTTAGCCAACTGAGCTAACCAGCCAGCCCTGGAGTTTAGATTATTGGTAAGAGAGTGACTGAAATAATAGATTGAGGAACCTAAGCTTGATTTTTAATTTTTTTAATTTTTTAATTTTTTGACCGGTAAGGGGATCGCAACCCTCGGCTCGGTGTGGTCTGCACCATGCTCAGCCAGTGAGCGTACCAGCCATTCCTATATAGGATTCGAACCCATGGCCTCGGCGCCACCAGCACCGCACTCTCCCGAAGGAGCCATGGGGCCGGCCCCTAAGCTTGATTTAAAAAGGAAAATGAAGGCTGGAAGGGGCTGATGGACAGAGAGAATGAGGATATATCCATGCCCTAGAGGTACTGAAGAAACAGAAGAACAGAGGAGTGGAGCAAACGAATCTGAAGGGTGGGATATTGTGGTCGAGCCCTGGGATGTATGATTTTTAATATTTCTTTTTTTATTATTTTTAATATTTCAGAGCTAGAGCAGTTTCAGACAGTGGTAAAGGCTAGTTGGTAGCTATAGAAGAAAGGAGTAACTGAAGTGTCATGGATAAGAATGTTACTACATATCTGGTGGTAAAGAAACTGTGAGGATGGAGTTTGAAGGGACTACCTATATGCACTTAGAAGTTACCAGGGTGACCTAACATAATAAGAGTTGGGGCGGAGAGGAAGAGTGGAAACCACTGCCAAAGCTTTCAGTGAGTGAGGGAGTGATTAGGAAGGAGAGAAGTTAACCTAGATTGTTAGCACAGGTCTCAAAGAGAAGGGAGTTTGCAGGTGCGTTGAAGAGTAATGATCTGAAAGCTGTAGCATGGGGCTCATTAGGACACAGGCATATTCTGTGTGGAAGTGGGAGAATGAGCAGCTTCCACCAAAGGGGAAAATGGTGGCCTCAGTGGATGACCAGGTTTCTGGTAAGGCAAGCTGTGGAAGAAATGCTGAGTGAGGAGCTTGAGGATATAGCAAGAGTTCCAGAGGGTACAGGGAAGTGTTGGAGACAAAGAGAGGGATTGGAAGGTTGGCTCAAGGGAGAGAAAGCAATATTGCCAACTGAAATTCAAGTACAAAAGAGGTTCAATCCCTGGAGGAGTTTCTAGAGGACTATTTTATGGTTAAACTTTAGAGGATTGTGTTCACAGTACCCATGTTTAAGAAGGTCACAGAAATTTGGAGTTCATTCAGAGGAAAGGGACCAGGACTATTTCAATCTATTTATTCATTAAGAATTTATTGAGTGCCTGTAATGTGGGGAATGCTGCATGACCCTGATAATATGAAGGTGATCGGCTGGCCTGTTGGCACAGTTGGTCAGAGCACGGTGTTATAATACCAAGGTCAAAGGTTCAGATCCAGGCTGGCTGGTTAGCTCAGTTGGTTAGAGCGCCATAACACCAACATCAAGCGTCAAGGGTTCGGATCCCCTTATCCGCCTGCTGCCAAAAAAAAGAATAAATAAATAAAACACCATACAGATCAAACAAACACTTAAGTGGCTGCCAGCTTGCAGCTTCTGCCATGAACTGTGATAAGTACAGTAGTAGAAGAGTACACTAGGCCCAGGGGTGACACAGTTGAGGAAGTGATTCACAACCATATTATAGGAGGAATCATTCGATGGGATGGGTGTGTTTTGATCAGCTTGGAAAGGACTCAGTGGAGACATGGACACTCATTTCAACTGTTTAAAGGACTGTCATGTGGAAGCCAGATTGGACTTCTGTCCTTTATGGCCTTAAAAGGTAAACTGCCATCAGGAAATATATTTTCAGCTCAAAATAGGGAAAGAACTCTGTAACAATGTAACGCGCTATCTTGGTTGGGAGCAAGTTGACAGGACAGTTGTAGAGGAGATTCTGATATCTGGGGAAACGAACAGACTTTTCATCAAAGGGTCTCTTCCAACTCTGAGGTCCTACAGTTCTGAGTGAGGATCCAAGTGTACTTTAGAAATAAGAAGCAGAGAGGATGCCAAGAAGGGCAAGCAGAAAACTTATGAAATGGGAGGTGCTAGAGGGCCTTAGGGGACTTCCATAGTTGGCTTGGGTAGTTGGCAGTGACTAGACAGCCAGGAAGATAATTGAGAGATTGTGGGACAGAACTGGGGTGTGGGAAAAGGGGAAACTCTGACCATCCCTTCTTTCCTTCCTTTTACTCTGAAGAGACATATGAGCGGCTTGAAGCAGACAAAAAGAAGCAGGTTCACAAGAAGCGGAAGTGCCCTGGGCCCATAATCACCTATCATTCAGTGACAGTGCCACTTGTTGGGGAGCCAGGCTCCAAGGAAGAGAATGTTGATGTAGAAGGGTGAGTGAATCTCAAGGGGAAAAGAGAAGTTTCTCTCTTCTGTATTCAGGTGTGTTCTCTCAGCCCTATTTCACTTGTTTTTCTCACACAGCTCTTCCTAACACTTGGATATCTTTCAGATTCCTTTCTCTCTTCAGCTCCTTATTTCTTTCTCTTTTAGCTCCCCCCCCCTTTCCTGTTTTTCCTTCTAGCCTAGCTTTCTTTTCCCGTCACTTAGTAGGTTCTCTCAGAATGGTCCTATCACTCTGCCTCCTTTTTCTCTTTCCTCATTTCTCTGATTTCTTTCTTTCCATATCTATTGTTTTCTCTTCTCAGCTCTTTGTGTTTTTCTCTGTCTTTTGCCCTTAGACTTGATCCTGCTCCCACAGCTTCTACACTGACTCCCCATGCTGGGACTGGACCTGTCATCCCCCCTGCTCACTGCTCACGTACCTTCATCACTTTTAGTGATGATGCAACATTTGAAGAATGGTTTCCCCAAGGGCGGCCCCCAAAGGTCCCTGTTCGGGAAGTCTGCCCAGTGACCCATCGTCCAGCCCTATACCGGGACCCTGTTACAGACATACCCTACGCCACTGCTCGAGCCTTCAAGATCATCCGTGAGGCCTACAAGAAGTACATCACTGCCCATGGACTGCCACCCACTGCCTCAACCCTAGGCCCTGGCCCACCACCTCCAGAGCCCCTCCCTGGCTCTGGGCCCCGAGCCTTGCGCCAGAAAATCGTCATCAAATGAAGAGATGTTTAGTCCTTAGAAACCACTTTCCTGCCCTGACTTGAGGTTCTTGATGTTCCCTCTCCTCTTCCTGCTTCTCCCCTTTGTCATCTCTGATCTTTGCCCAACCCTTTTCTATTTTTCTTTCCCCATCTTTTCTCTTAGTTCCTACTGGTTTTGTTGTGTTTTTAAATCTAATAAAATAGAAAGATCCCTTTTGTCTGGTCTCTAATCTAGGGTCAGAAGTAAGAGGAATTTATTTGTGAATGTCTGAGTATGTATGGGTCTTTATATTTGTTTGATATCATTTACTGTGAGCTGTACTTATTTATTTATTATTTTTATTTTTTTTTAAAGATGACCAGTAAGGGGATCTTAACCCTTGACTTGGTATTGTCAGCACCACGCTCTCCCAAGTGAGCTAACCAGCCATCCCTATATAGGGATCCGGACCCATGGCCTTGGTGTTATCAGCACCACACTCTCCCAAGTGAGCCACGGGCTGGCCCGATGAGCTGTACTTTTTAAACTGTATTTAGTCCTCCAAGTAAATTATAAACTCCTTAAAATTAGACACCAAAATAAAATCCTTACATTGACATTTATATCACCTTATATTCACTGCTTTGAGTGTAGCAGGCACCAAATAAGTAGGAACTATTTGATTCTCACAGAACTCCAGTGTCTAGGACTTGAACTTGTATGAAGAGAAGGGGAGGATGTGCCATGGCTGTTAATGGCCACTAGAGGCTCTCAGGGCTGGGCAGGGTATGGGGGCTGTGTATATGTGATCTCCCACTACCCCCCACCTGGCCAGAGCTAAAATAATAAAATGCTGAGCTCACTGTTCCCCCACCCTCTCCCCCGGCACTGAGCTCCTCCTGCTGCTGGGACCGTGCTCCAGTAGAACAAACAGACAGACCCACTGACAGGGGAGGTGAGAAGGGAGATAGCTACAAGGACTGGTAGGTTGGGAAGGCAAGGGGCTTGTGGATGAGAGCCTGGGGGGAGATGGGAGGAGAAGAATGGCTCCTGTGAGAATGATATGGAGTGTATCTCCGTCTCTGTCACTCACTGTTGTTTCTGCCACTGTTTGCCCTATCCCTTAACTGTGTATAATTTACATTGTCAATATAAGTGTCTCACACACTTTCTGGATCTTTCATATTCAGCATGGTGTGTACGTGTAGCTTGTGTGTATTTTTCATATTGTAAAAGATTATGCATGTTTGATCTCGGTTTTAAGAGAAACTTTATTCCCATTTAGAAGGCATTTCTCATCCAGTGTCACCTTCCTATCCAAAGCCAGGGACAAATTATGGGGACTCAGTCCCTTCTCCTGAGGGCTTACCACCCTTCCTCCAACCTGGAAGTCCCCTAGCTTCTCTGAGCCCTTGCTTTCCTTCAGGATTTAGAATTTCAGCAAACACAGAAAATGAAATGTTGATCTCCTCCACAGTAAAAGAGGAAATGAGGATGGGGTAAGAAAACGGCTCTTTCCCCTTTCCCCCCAGTCTTCCTTGCTTTCTTTAACCAATTTAGGGGAAAAGGCTGGATTACGGGGAAGAGAAGAGGAATTTCCCTGAAGATCTCTGCCCACCCCTCCCCCTTTCAATAGGAACTGGGCATGGGGCCAGCTGTTTTGGCAAGGCTTCCAGCAGCTGTGCTAGGGGGAGAGATACTGATGGGTTAGGTTATAGGGGAGGGGTGCTGCTAGGATTTCTCTGTCATACAGTGGGAAGACAAATCCAGCTTGGATACCTGGAATCCCCAGCTAGAGTTACTGGAAGCTGGGGAAGCAGGAAGAAAATTCTAACTAAACAACTTTTCTTTCCCCCATCCCATCCCCAACTAGATTTCTAACCTCCAAGGCATCAAGTTCAATGTTCTGCCCCCTGGCTGGTCTCTTTGTGTCCCTACTGTGTCCATGTCCATCTTTCCTTTGTCCAACCACTTTTCTCATGCTCCTCAGGCTCTGTGAATTGTACACAGTGGGGAGGGGGTGAGGGCCACCATGTCATCATATCAGAAGGAACTGGAGAAATACAGAGACATAGATGAAGATGAGATCCTGAGGACCTTGAGCCCCGAGGAGCTAGAGCAGCTGGACTGCGAGCTACAGGAGATGGACCCTGAGGTAGGGGATCCAGCACGGGGAACCAGGGACAGTCCGTAGGCATTTGGGAAGGATTCTAGGCTCTGGGTGGCTGAGACCAGGGCTGCCTACAGGGCCTGGAGTCCCAAGAGGGCCAGGGAAAATGTGTCTGGAGATGTTTTAGGGAGACCTAGAGGTACCCCAGGTCACAGGGGAGGTCTGACTTGCTCCCCAAAACTCATCCCTAAGAATATGCTCCTGCCAGCTGGGCTAAGACAACGTGACCAGACAAAGAAGAACCCAACAGGGCCACTGGACCGAGAGGCTCTTTTGCAGTACCTGGAGCAGCAGGCACTAGAAGTCAAAGAGCGTGATGACTTGGTGCCCTTCACAGGCGAAAAGAAGGGTATGGGGAACCTGACATCCATGCCTCCCAGAACCCAAATGGCTGTCTCTCATATGTCCACCCTCCAGCTTCTCTCTCACCTTCCAGCTCCTATCCGCCCAGGGACTCAGGTGCCCTGACACTTGCATGCCAGCTTGCATTCTTCAGTCTTATGAGAGATTAGGGGACCTAGGAATCCTGACTTTGTAGAGGACTCAGGCTTTCCAGTGTTCCGTGGTGACCCAGCATTCTACTTCTGGAAAAATAAAAGGAAGCTGGAGGCCAGGATCTTGGTGGAAATGACCTCTACCTGAAACAACCTTCATCTCCCCATCAGGGAAACCCTATATTCAGCCCAAGAGGGAAATCCCAGCACAGGAGCAGATCACCCTGGAGCCTGAGCTGGAGGAGGCACTGGCCAATGCCACAGATGCTGAAATGTGTGATATTGCAGGTGGGCAGCTGTGGGAAGTTGAGGAGGGTCAGGGATGGGGGATCCTAGCCATTACATGAGACTAGTGGGGAAGGCCCTGAACCAGGATGTGGATGTCTGAGAAAGCCTCAGGCAGTAGTTTTAAATTTTTTATTTATGTACTCATTTTTTTTTAAATTCAATAAGTTAATATCTCAAGAGCAATTTTACAGGGATTGTAAAAGCAAATAAAAGTGGAACTATTCTGACTGAAATCAGGAAGGGGTCTCTGCAGACTCCCTCACCCTATTGGGGCTCCTTAGTGACCTTCCTTTAGCCCTATCTCAATGTTTTAGAAACCACTGCCTTGGGAAGTTTATGGAAGGAATTCCCGGGATCGAGGGAGGATGGGAAACCTCTCCCGAAGAGTGGAAGGAGTCAGGCCTTAAAAATGCTACAGTAGCAGATTCAGAATAAGGTGGGGGGGCTTGGAACAGATTCTTTCTCCTCATTGTCTGTTTCCCCTCTGCTTCCCCTCTCCAGCAATTCTGGGCATGTACACACTGATGAGCAACAAGCAATACTACGATGCTATCTGCAGTGGAGAAATCTGCAACACTGAAGGCATTAGCAGTGAGTGTGTGTGGGGAACATGCTCCCCAGGTCTCCTGGGCAGGTAGTCCTGGGGTCAGAAGAGGTAGGAAAGAGTGAATCGTGAATCTGAGAGAGGACATGGTGCATGAGTGATAAGAGAATCAATGGGAGGAGATTGTGGGGCACATGTTTGTGTTCCCATCCTATCCTCACCCACCAGGTGTGGTACAGCCTGACAAGTATAAGCCAGTGCCAGATGAGCCCCCAAACCCCACAAACATCGAAGAAATACTAAAGAGGGTTCGAAGCAATGATAAGGAGCTGGAGGAGGTGAACCTCAATAATATACAGGTATTTGACTCCTATCCTCCAAACAATAACACCGAGATAACTGCTGACATTTGAGTCTCTTAGCCCATCATCCCTTATTCACCTCTAATAGGACATCCCAATACCCATGCTAAGTGAGCTGTGTGGGGCAATGAAGACAAATACCTACGTCCGGAGCTTCAGTCTGGTGGCCACAAGGAGTGGTGACCCTATCGCCAATGTAAGGCCAATTGACATACCAAGTCCTCTCTCCCCACACCTTAACATGCACCCCTGGCAGGGCTGTCATAAAGGGTTGTGCTAGGGGGTGCTATTTCCATCATGCTTTTTTAGGGCAGCCCTCATGGAGACTACCCACAAGTCCTACAGCTCACAACCCTGAAGTCCTGAGATACTTTGCCAAAGTGCCACAATCCTAACACCTCCAACTCCACTGCACACAATCTCCTTGCTTTCCCCTACTATCTACCTTCACTTCTATCTCCCTCTAGCCCACGTACAGCTCCTCAAGGACTCTTCTCAAAGAGCTGTTTCCTTCTTGCTCCTGTTCTTTCTCTCCTCAGTCATCTGTGAAACTGTCCCCTAATCCTAACCCAAGTCCCTACTACCCAGGCAGTGGCTGACATGTTGCGTGAGAATCGTAGTCTCCAGAGCCTGAACATCGAATCCAACTTCATTAGCAGCACAGGGCTCATGGCTGTGCTGAAGGCAGTTCGGGAAAATGCCACACTCACTGAGCTCCGTGTAGACAACCAGGTCAGCATTCCATTCCCCCGGTCTTAGCATTTAGCTAATACTCACTGAGCCTCCTCCCTGAGCCAGCCACTGGGGCAGCTATGTCATTTAATCTTGTTTGAATTCTCTTCTTCATTATCTCTCTGAGGGGAGCCAAGTCAGCACCTCTCTCTACCCACTTTGGAGAAATAAGACTCTTTGACCTGCCAAAGGGGTCTGTGGATTGGGATGGTGAACAACCCTGAGAGGGTGGTGACAGCTTTTGCTTCTCCCTCTCCCAGCGCCAGTGGCCTGGTGATGCAGTGGAGATGGAGATGGCCACCGTGCTAGAGCAGTGTCCCTCCATCGTCCGCTTTGGCTACCACTTTACACAGCAGGGGCCACGAGCTCGGGCAGCCCAGGCTATGACCCGGAACAATGAACTACGTGAGTAACTGCAGACATGGAATGTGGGAGAAAGGGCAAGAAAGTGCAGAAAATGGTGAATCCTTCTAAAAGCAGACTTAGTGACAAAAAGTCTGGGGTGCTGCCAAAGAGATACTCACATGAAAAATTCAAGTCCCCATGAAAGATCAGAAAACAGAAAAGTCCCTCTGCCCCAATACATACCAGTAGAGAGGTAAAAAGGAGGCTAGACGTACTAATACCTGCTTAGAGGCATGGTATTTTTATTTGTGGCATGGTTTCTTGTTTTGTTTTGTTAATGTGGGGTGGGCTTGTCAGATAGCCTAAGATGTACCACTTATGAGTCTGGCTAAGGAACTGAACAGGAGAAGAAAAGTGCCTTTGCACAAAGCAGGAGATGAAGCAAAGACTTGTGTTTACTCTTCCTCCTTTACAGGTCGCCAGCAAAAGAAGAGATAACCCTGCCTTTCCCTTTAGCAATTAGAGCTGGGAGTACTGGATACTTAAATCCTCATCTATCCCCCTTTCCTGTAAATAAAGGCCCTTCTGTCCACTCTGCCTGTCTCCTTCCTTGGGATTTGGGGTGGGAACTTTGGCGTTAACCCCAAGGGTTACTGCCAGTTCATCAGGGGATTATTTATACTCTGGGGATCAGCAGGCAGGGAGGTTCAGGTTACTAGGAGGAGGCGGGGGACCTCCCTCCCTTGGTGTTCCCCATAACCCTGCCAAAGCCTTTAGTATCTTCTACTTTTACAAGTTACTTGCCTCAGCCCTGTTTCCAGATGTGGCCAGCACCTCCCACCCCCCGCCCCAATGCCTACCCACAGCCCTCACGTGACTTGAAGGGTGAAAGGACTTTGAGTGGAGGTGGGGAAGGAGGCAGACAACATGAAGGGCAAAGACCTCTTTCTGACAGACTTATTAATAGGGCACCAGGCTCCATGCAGCTGACGCTTGGCATGATTTTGGTAGAGGTGGGGGAGGGGTTAGAAATATGGGGAGCTGTGTACATTGCAGAGAAGGAGTGGCCAGGCTGAGAATGAACTGATCTGAAATCCTGAGACAAGGCTTGAGGAAAATTAGGCTCCCAGCACCCACTGTAGTTTACTTGTGAACTGAATGGAAAAGAGGGTGTCAGTCCAAGGGGAGATCAGGGGGTTCTTCCTCATCAGAGTCAAACTCAACATTTTCATCTTTTACCCATCGACCTCGTCCATCTGGAATCCATCCAGAGCTGGAAACACCAGAGAAAATAGAATTGGTCAGGAAAAAGATTTACTAAAAAGTGGCAATAAGAAAAAAACTAAATAGGTTAGAAAAAAGGAGGGTCAGAAAGAAAAGAAAACATTAGGAAAGTGATTTGGAATACTCACCTTCGAAGTGTGAGGTAATGATCCAGTACTCGTCTTCTTGTGGGGCTCATGGGTGCAGAGGCTGAGACATTTGCTGACTCCTTGGCCTGTGGGCCAGCCCCAGGCTCAGGTTCCCTACTGATCTTCCCACCGTGGAGTTCGACCTCTGGGGGTGGCAAAGGGGAATGGGAGACAGAAGGACCAGGGGCTTCTAGTCTGGGTAGAGAAGGATCAAAGTGTAAAAACAGTGAAGAAAAGGGCCAACTCTCCCATGACTCCCAAACCCTGTCCCAAAAGGCCAGCTTAAAATTTTTTAAGTTTTTTAAATTTTAAGACTGTATAGCCCTTAAAATATACTCTTACTGTTCTTCAAGTGGGATTACAAAGTGTCATGTCCCAAACTTTATTTAAAAATCACAAAATTTTCTTTCCTGAAATACCTGTTAATATCTCCAGAACACTAGTACTCCTCAGAATACAATTTGGAAAACAATAATTTTAGAGCTATCTATCTCCTGTCCCTTTCTACCTCTGGCTTTCCCATCCACAGACCTGCACTTTCGGCGGCAGCAACTGTTATAGTGGGGAGCTCTGTGCAGAGCATTCTGTGTGATAAGTCGCGTCTGGGTTAGCAGAGGAGCCTGGCACGGAGATGGGAGACAGAGTCAGAGCCTTCAGAGCTAGAATGAAGCCAAAGCCCTTAAAGCTGTGTGCAGCAGGGTCCTGGAACACACCCACCCCTTTCTGGTTACCTCAGCTTTGGTCTCTTCCCTCCTGAATTCATTCTGCTGTCGTGGATTTTGCTCCATTCCCTTTCCTGGCTGTTTTTTGCCATAGAAAAGCTGCAGGCCTAAGAAAGGGAAAGAGAATGAAAAGCATCGCATCAAGAGTGGTCTGCAGAAGGGGCCGGCCCGTGGCTCACTTGGGAGAGTGTGGTGCTGATAGCAGCAAGTCAAGGGTTCGGATGCCTGTAGAGGGATGGCCGGTTAGCTAACTTCGGAGAGCGTGGTGCTGATAACACCAAGTCAAGGGTTGAGATCCCCTTACCCGTCATCTTTAAAAAAAAAGAGAGAGAGAGAGTAGTCTGCAGAGATTGCAAGGGTTTGTTCTCCATTCCCTGTCTTCCCCCAGAACTTACTGCACAGATGTTTCTTGCCTGCACGGTGGGCAGTCAGCATGGCCAGGGTGTCCAGTACAGGTCGGTGGGGACAGATAGCACAAGCAAAGCTGGAGAGGGGGAGAGAAGAGGATAATTGATGGGAGAGGGAGTTTGGGGGCTCCTGCCCTTGGTCCCACCCTCTCCTAGCAGTCCTTTCCAAACCCCAACTCCCAGGTCTCACAACCTCCACCTCTTCCGGTCCTCACTCCCCTCTAAAGAATCCTAGATACTCCTGATCTTCTCCTTAATAACGAAAGTTTGTTGAGCCTCTAACCCCAGAACCTTCAGGCTCGATCCACTCCTCGCCCTCACCGTCCGTCTCGTAGCATCAGCGCCTCATCCTCTGGGATGTAACTAGCCAGCAGGTCGCCGACTCTTCGTTTCTGCAGCAGGTAGGGGAAGAAGTCCGGAAGAGATCACCGAGACAGGAGAGAGACATGTTAGGGAAATTACAGGGATGAGGAGTCAAATGGAATAAAGATCATGGAGAGAGCAGCGCTCACAAGGCGAAGAAGGGGTCACTATCCGCCTGTAGTCGCCTGGCTCCCTCCCGCTCCCTACCAGAGCAACAAAACAAAGCTCCTTCGCAGCCTTAAAAGGTTCCCTGAAGCTGCTCCAGAACCTCTCCGCTCGCACTTACTTTGAGCACATTGAGTTGACTCCAATCGTCCCCTTCCCTCTTGAAAGACATCACGACTGTAAGTCTCAGAAATGATAAATTCTCTTGTGCCTGCTTCGCTGTTCCTTCAGGCCACCGTAGCAAGAGTGGAACACCTCCTTTCCTTCTTCCGGTCTCTTTCCAGTTGGCCTCCGTACTTCCGGGAGCACACTTCCACGCATGCGCTGTACGATCCGGAAAGCCCGCCTCTAGCCGCTGAGGGAGGCAGCATTTTTTGTAGTGCCCTGCGACCCCTCAACGCGGAGCCTCTTGGGAAATGAAGTTCTGTTTTGTTTTGTTTTGTTTTGTTTTACAAAGAGCTTGCCGCTCAGCTGGATCCAGACCCTTGCTTCTTGGCGAATTTGAGGCGCTTGGAAGGACAGCAATCTAGATGTGGATCCATAATTTGAGCATGTGACCTATCTGATGCGGAGAGGGTGTTTGAAGATCTCTGAGTGGAAAGTGTACTACAAATTCTCTCAATACTCACGCGCTTCGTCTGCGGCGACAGCCCACCTGGGGTGGGCCTGATTCGTCCCTGACCCTAGGGGAGGAACCCCGGGGACAGGGCGGAGCCGGCATGTGGAGGCGCCCCGAGGCTGGGCTGCCAGACTTGGGGGCAAACTAAGGAAGGAGTGTTGTGGAGAGTATCTAGAGTTCAATGGTCAGAGGTTAGTGTAGCGAGGAGTTGTGGGTGGTCGAAAATCTCAGGGGTTCTAAGGGGAGACCCAGGTAAGGACTCAATATTCAGGGGACAGATTTGGGGTTTAGGGGCTTGGAAGGAGGAGGAGCAGGGAGTGGGAGTAGTGCCGGGGGAGGCGGAGAGATATTAGAGAGAAGAGAAAAGGAGAAAGGAATCCCTGGAATATCCATTCTCCGATTTCAGGCCGGTCACCGTCGGTCATTTAGTCAGGCCTCCCCCAGTTGCAGTCTCAGCTCTGGCAGGGTGAGGAGATGGCTTCTCCCTCTAGACAGCACCCCCTCGGAGGGTCAGGACTGCTTCAAGGGAGCCGGGCTCGTTCTTATGGCAGCCTGGTTCAATCGTCCTGCTCCCCAGTGAGGGGAAAACGCCTGGAACATCAGTTGGAGCCTGGAGACACCCTGGCTGGCCTAGCACTCAAATACGGGGTGACGGTGAGTCTTCCAGGATTGGGGTGCAGACAACTAGTTAGAAGATATTTAGTCCTCAGGAGAATATAGTGGCCCTTCTAGGCAGCCTCCCCTGAAATTTTCCTAATTGTGTTGTGGTCTGTTCTACATTTATCTTTTTATTTTCCTATTTCAGTGTTGCACTGTCTAGTTAGGACAAATCCTGTCCCACTATCCCAGTGAAGAGGAGCAATTCCTATTTATTATGCCAAACACTATGCTAGGAGCTTTACATACATTAGCCCATTTGATCCTCACATCCCTATCAAGTATACAATTATTGTTCCCTTTTTGTAGATGAAGAAACTGAGGCTTAGATTGGTTAATTTAGTTTGACCAAGGTGAAATAACTGAGTGTCAGAGTTGGAATTTAGACAGGTCTCTCTAACTCTCTTAAGCACAGAACGTTTTTGATTGAGAATGATTAAAACATTTATAGCAAATAATGGAGAGCTGTCTTTTAGTTCTAAGTTCCTAAAGTGCTTATCTCTTCTTGTTCATGTTTCCTCCTCAATGCTGTCCCTTCTTTCCAGTAAGGTGGCCTCCTTTGTGCAAAACAGGTACCCTTTACACCAAGTATTTCAGATCATGCAAAGGGGAGATTGATAGGTGTAAAAATATATTGCACTAGGGCCGGCCCGTGGCTCACTCGGGAGAGTGTGGTGCTGATAACACCAAGGCCACGGGTTCGGATCCCATATAGGGATGGTCGGTTCGCTCACTGGGTGAGCGTGGTGCTGACAACACCAAGTCAAGGGTTAAGAACCCCTTACCGGCCATCTTAAAAAAAAAAAAATATATATATATATATATATATATATATTGCACTAAAGTTGATGAGGTTTATTCCCCCCATATCCTGTTCCATCTCACACAAACAAATGTTGAATTTAGCCAATAGTTTTATGCTCACTATATTTAAAGCATTGTGGTAACCCTCTTGGGATATAGAAACATAATAAAATGTATGGTGGCCTTCCTCTTGTAATTTACAGTGAGAAATGGACAGGGATACAAATAATGATTATAGGTGACAGAATGTAGTAAGATTGTAGAAATATTAACAAAGGGTGGGAAATTGGAAAAGAAGATTGATTTTTTGGGCCGCCGGGTGGCGCACTCGGTGGAGTGCGGCGCTTGGGAGCGCGGCGGCGCTCCCGCAGAGGGTTCAGATCCCATATAGAGACTGGTCCGCGGGTTCAGATCCCATATAGAGACTGGTCCACTCACTGTTTGAGCGCGGTGCGGGCGCAACACCGAGGGTTGCGATCCCGTTGCCGGTCACGAAAAAAAAAAAAAAGAAGATTGATTTTTACTTGAAAGGGGACAGGGTGGACATCAGTCCACGTTTTAAAGGTGCATCATGATAGGCCTTAAAAAAACTTAGAAGCTTCTTCCTCTGTGCTCTCTTCTACAAACCTATGTAATATAGTTGTTTACATCTTTGTCTTTCCAATAGCTTATATGCTCCTTAAGAGTAAGAACTATTTCTTTTCAGCGTTATATCTGTAAAGTTTGGTATAGTCTCGAGCACATAGAAGCTTAAAAGATGATTTTTGAATGAATGAATGAATGGAAGTGTTGCTAAGATTTCCACACATGGAGAATGGTAGTATAGGAAAGAACATTTCAAGTTTCAAGTAAAATAGTGGAGAAGCCTCCCCCCCTCCTCCCCCTTTTCCTTCTCCTCCTCCCCCTTTTTCTTCTCCTCCTCCTCCTCCTGGGGGAGGGGGGAAGAACAGTAGTGTCCCCTTATCTGTGGGGGTTATGATCCAAGACCCCAAGTGGATGCCTGAAACCGTGTATAGTACTGAATCTTATATATACAGTACGGTGTTTTTTCCTATACATACATACCAATGATAAAGTTTAATTTATAAATTATGCACAGTACTTTTGTGCTTTGGGGCCATTATTAAGTAAAATAAGGATTACTTGAAAACAAGCACTGGGATACCGGGACAGTCTATCTGATACTGTGATTAATGGGTGAATAGTATATACAGCGTGGATACGCTGGACTACAGGTTCATGTCCCTGGCAGAAAGGACTGGGACAGCTGGAGGTTTCATCGCACTATTCAGCACTGCACACAATCTCATAATTACGAATTGCTTATTTCTGGAATTTTCCATTTAATATTTTCAGGCCATGGTTGATTGCAGGTAACAGAAACCACGGAAAGCAAAACCACAGATAAGGGGGGACTACTGTAGAGTGAATGTCCTAAGCAAAGGAAGTGGGTATGAAAGTACAGGGCAGGCCAGCTGGTTAGCTCAGTTGGTTAGAGCACAGCCTTATAACTCCAAGGTCGCAGGTTCGGACCTGCATACCGCCCAGCCGCCAAAAACAAAGTACAGAGCAGACCTTCTCAGAAGGAGCCCAGAAGACCTGTAAGAAGAGAGCTGGGCCACCAGTGAACCAACAATTATTTATTGAGGCTTTCTTACAGCTCTGGAACCTCTACCAGAAAACTCTATAGTCCAGTGAAGAAGAGTTTTAGGTTCTGGTTCCATTCTTCTGCTTACAAGCTGAATCACTTCCCCGGTTTGGGGCCTGAGTTTCTGTACCATTTGTAAAATGAGGAAAATGTATTAAATAATGGTAATTACTTGTTATTACCTACCTATCATTTAAGGAACACTTAGTATGTGCCAATAATACATGTATTATTTCATATTATCTTCTTAAGACTAGGAGGTAGGTTTAATTATTCCCATTTAAAGTTAAGGAAACTGAGGCTTAGGGTGGTAAAATAACTTGCCATTGATCACGCAACTAGTGTAATTGGTATAGCCAGGATTCAGACCAGATTGTATCATTGTAAGCTCTCACTTTTAATTGTTCTGTTACACTAACTAGATTCTGAGGACCTTTCTAGCTCTTAAAGACTGTCTTTTTTTTCCCCCTATGGTGGCTGGCAAGTACCAGGATCTGAACCCTTGACCTTGTTAAAGACTGTGTCTCGATAGCCTAGGACCCCTCTGGGCAATAATAAAAGCAACAGAAAGTTCACAAATTAATTCATAGCGTCTTGGAACTGGAAGGGACCTAGGATATTATCTAGGCAAGGTAAAATTAGTATCATCAAAGCATTTGACAAAGTAACGGTACAAAAGCACAAGACAATTTTAACTTTTTTAATTGTTCAGATTAATCCAGTTTTACTTTTAAACACATTGTAATATAAGACCATATTGTTTTATCGTATAAATTTATTATAATAGTTTTTCACCAGGGTAGAAAGAGCTTTAGTATTTGACAGATATAAGAAATAAGATTTTCCAAACTGGTGCTAATATGGGATGAATTTTTAGTAAAACTGGCTCTGGCTTCTGATAATAAAATAGTAATATGCTATATCTGTAGTTTCTATATTTTATTATCTAGTTTATTCACAAAGCATTAATGAGCCCCTGCCATGTGCCAAGCTCTGTGAGATGCTAAAGAGAGCCTTGGGGATACAGAAACAGCAAATCACCATCCCTGCCCTTAAAGGACTCACAGGGTTTAGGCAAGACAAATATTCAAAGAGATGAATAACAATGTAATAGGGTATGTATTATGGCAGTGTTTCCCAGGTATGCATTGGTAGCCCTGAAGAAGGTAACACAAAGGGAGTGATAGATGAAGAGCACAAGTTTTCCAAGCATAGAAGTTGATAGTGGGGAGGCATTTCAGATAGAAGGAACGGAGTGAATAATGACACAGAAGTGTGAAAGATCATGGAATGTTAAAAAAAAAAAAAAAATGAAAGGTTCAGGATAGCAAAATGTACTCATGTAGGTGGCAGAAGAAAAGAGATGAGGCTAGACATTTAATATGAAGGCTACATTGAGAAAGCCCTTGAATGCTACTTTGGATTTTATCTCTTAGCCGATGAGGAGCCATAAGAGGTTTATAAGCAGTGGGTTAATCCAACTTATTTTTTTAGGAAGATAGATGTCAAGAGGGGATTGAGGAGAAAGAGAGAGAGAGGGCTGGATGGTTAGCTCAGTTGGTTAGAGCACAGTACTGATAACACCAAGTCCCATGGCTTGATCCCTGTATCAGCCAGCCAAAAGGGAAAAAAAAAAAAAAAATGGAGAGAGGAAGACAAGTTAAACTATTACAGTAGCCCAAATGAAAAATATTATGTGTCTGTTCTAAGGCAATGGCAGTGGACATGAAAATGAGACCAAATGTGAGATTTTTGAAGCACTTTTGTTGATTGGTTTGGTACAGGTGATGAAGGAAAAGTATGGGTTAAGGATGACATTGATATTTTTACCTTGGAAGGTCAGGTAGATAGATGGTGATGCCAGTTACTATGTTCAATGATGAATAAATAGGTACAAAATATTTAATCGATGAAATTATTAATATTACAGTGTGAAAAGCATTCCCAGAAGGAGTAAAAAGGCCCAGGATTCTAGTTCTATCTCTGTTACTAGCTTGCTAGATAATCTTAGGCAAGTATCTTAGCCTCAGATCTTTCTTCAACTTTTTTTTTTTTTTTTTTTTTGCAGCTGGATGGTACTGGGATCCAAATCCTTGACTTTGGTGTTATAACACCACACTCTAACCATTTGAGCTAACTCGCCAGCCCCTCAGTTCCTTTATCTTTAACAGTGGTTCTCAAAGTGAGGTCCAGGGACCCCCTGTGGATCCATGAGACTCTTCAGGGGTCTGCAAAGTCAAAACTATTTTCATTGTAATAATAAAAATATGGTATTTGCTTTTTTCATTCTCATTTTCTCATGAGTATACAGTGTTTTCCAGAGGCTACATGATGTGTGATATTGCAACAGATTGAGTGTAGAGGCAGATACAACAATCCTGTTGTCTTCTGTTAAGTCAAACTTAAAGTGATTTGCAAAAATATAGAACAATGCCTTTTTTCTCACTACATTTTTTTGTTTTGTTTTGGAAAAAATAGTTATTTTTCATTAAAGTATTTATATTAAGGGCCGGCCCATGGCTCACTTGGGAGAGTGTGGTGCTGATAACACCAAGTCAAGGGTTAAGATCCCCTTACTGGTCATCTTAAAAAAAAAAAAAAAAAGCTTGAGATGCTATGTAAGATTGATCATTATTACTGTCATTAATTTTGGTGACTTTTTTTTAAAAGATGGAACAGATTAAGCGTGCAAACCGCCTTTATACTAATGACTCCATCTTCCTGAAGAAAACCCTCTACATCCCCATCCTGACAGAGCCCAGAGACCTGTTCAATGGTTTGGATTCTGAGGAAGAGGAAGAGGTACACCCAAGTAAGGATGAAGCTTGGCCACAGTCAGCTGAGAGGAAGAAACAAGAGACAGGTTCAGGACGGGCCAATGGTGAAGTACTCCCCACGCCTGGCCAGGAACCCTCCACTCCCATCCATGACCTCTCTGCCTCTGATTTTCTTAAGAAGCTTGATTCACAGATCAGCTTGTCAAAGAAGGTTGCTGCCCAGAAGCTGAAAAAAGGGGAAATTGGGTGAGTTTTTAATGATTCCTTATAACCTCCATAGACTCTTCTGTTCTTCCAGTGTTACCTAACCGCAAACACAAGTAAGTAACCACAATGCCAGCAGAAGCAAGGTGATACCTTTCCCCAAGGTGGCCCTAAGACAATGAGCAGAGCCAATGGCTGCTGGAATGGGTAGAGGCAGTGAGAAACTGGGTTTTGTGTTCTCACTGGAGTAAAACAGTTGACTGTTCTTACTGCCCTGATGATCCATAAAGGAGTGTTAGGGTTAGGATTTATCCAGAGGGTACTAAAGCTCTGGCTTAGAGCAACTAGCTCATGTATTAGGAGTGGACAGTTTCCCACGTACCTCTTGCTTGGACCTTTCTCAAGCTCTTCACTTGCTCTGTTACTCTTGCCCCCCTTTCTTCACCTGCAGGGTACCTGGGGAGGATGCAGGTCTCCACCTGAGCTCCCCTCAGATGCAGCAACGAGCAGTCCTAGGTCCTGTGCCGCTAACCCGGACCTCTCGAACCCGGACACTACGGGACCAAGAGGATGAAATCTTCAAACTCTGATATCTCCAGGACTGATTAAGAAGTAAAATGTTGAAGAACAACTTGAGGGGGAGAGGAGCCTGAGGTGAGGCTCAAGAACATGGTTTCCCAGCCTGCCTACCTCTACTCCAGCCATCTTCCCCAGCCTCCTTGTCCATCAAGAATTCTGTGGCCTGGGGCAGTTTTATTGGCAAGAGTAGGGGATGGGGCCTAGACCCCTTCCCAGTTCTTGGGCTGAATCCAGAGTTGTCTTTTAGATTCAAAAGGCTATTTTTACATCCCTGCTGCCTTTCCTATCCCTTTCACCATTTCCTGGGCTTAGAGCAGGGAAGGAGGAACTCCTCCTCAACTTCCTCCTCATCCCCAACTACATTACCTAATTCATTTGGTGCTATATATATTGAAATAATATTTATTTGCTGTATCTTATTCTTCTCACTCTTAGCTGAAAAATGGGATTTCTATAGCCCTGAGTTGAGGTGAACCCAGGAACAGTGAGCCAGTAACTGCTGGTTCCCCACCATCCCCACCTCCTTAGCCAAGCATGTTATTGAGGATGGAGCAATTAGCAATTTAGCCCCACTGCAGAGAATGGCAGACTGTGCCAGGCCTTTTCTCCAATCTCAGAGTAAATGATTTGGGCTCAGTCTTTACTAAACAATTCCTTATAACTTTTGGACAACTCTTGCTCTGAGAAAAAGCAGCAATGTAGGGACCTGAACTCTCCATTCTACCAGTTCACCCTTCTAACCTGTTCCTCTGCTCAGCCTGTGGTGGGGCTAAGGGATGGAAGGATTGCCTTGGGCGTTTGAAGAGGAGAACAGTTGTTCTCACAACTCTGTTGTACTCTCTCCCCACCAGAGCCTATCTATGTATGCCTTGCTTCTTACTGTATATTTGTTTGCAATTTGTAGCACTGATCTATGGTACAGTTTTTTTGTTTGTTTGTCTCTTAAACAGAAGAAGTAGGCAAGGGAACCTCCATGATACTGGAAATATGCCTCAGTCTCCTGTATGGAAGTGGTGAGAGGTGAGATAAGTCGTGTTTATACACCTTCTTGCCTCTGTGATGATCATAAGGTCTAAGAAGCTGGAGAGATTAAACATTGAGCCCTGTTCATGTTTTAGTAGTTTTATTTCCCCCATGAGAATATCCCCTGCCCTATCTCCTTCTTCCTGCACTCTGGAACAGAGTCTATGGTATCTGTCCAAGCTCTGCCTAGAGCTGGAGGTCTAGGTTGTCTCTAAGGGCCACCTTCGCCCCTTCTGTCTTTAGTGTCCTGAGAGGGGTTATATGGGTTGTGGCCCCCTTCCCTTTGTTCATAGAGGTGGGGGCTTCCCTGTTTCAGATGTCCCTTACAGGAGAAATAGAGGTCCAAGTTTCACTTCGCCTTTTTCAGGCAGCTATTTCCTGTCCCAAGGCTGGAGTGGGAGAGAGGCCTTACCCCTCAGCATTGCTCATTCTCCACCAGAAGTTTGGGGGTGGGGTGGTCTCAGAGTCAAAAGCACTCTTTGGAAAGAATGAAGCCTGAAGACTGAAAAGTATTAGTGCAGATGATCAGGGTTAGAAAAGCCCATTGTCAGAGCTGGCCCATGGCCCGCTTGGGAGAGTGTGGTGCTGATAACACCAAGGCCACGGGTTCAGATCCCTATATAGGGATCTGAACCCGTGGCCTTGGTGTTATCAGCACCACACTCTCCGAAGTGAGCTAACCGGCCATCCCTATATAGGGATCTGAACCCGTGGCCTTGGTGTTATCAGCACCACACTCTCCGAAGTGAGCTAACCGGCCATCCCTATATAGGGATGGCCGGTTAGCTCACTTCGGAGAGTGTGGTGCTGATAACACCAAGGCCACGGGTTCAGATCCCTATATAGGGATGGCCGGTTAGCTCACTTCGGAGAGTGTGGTGCTGAAAACACCAAGTCATGGGTTAAGATCTCCTTACCAGTCATCTTTAAAAAAGAAAAGAAAAGCCCATTGTCTGTGGTTTTCTCAGTCGAAGAAAATGTCGAAGAAATTCTTTTTCTCAGTCAAAGAAAAAGAAAATTTCCTTTTCAAAGTGAATGTGCTAGGTTCAGGGCTCTCAGAGCTTCCCCTCATCCAACAGCTTCCTGATCCCATCACAGATCTTGCCAAGGTGCTGAGTGAAGTCAGGCCCATAGAGGGCAGTGAGCAGGCCTGGGTCAGAGAAGTGATCGAACACGTGGCGGATGCGGCCATGTGACTTGGGCGTAAGGTGGTGCTCCACCAGCTCCAGCAGCACATCCCTGCACTCGGTCAGCAGGCCAGCCAGCACAGCAGCCTCGAAGGTGAAATCCACCTCGCCAAAGCTAAGTGCAGTCATGGCACCCTGCCGCAGCTTCTGGCGAAAACGGGTAGCCAAGGCCAGCTCACTGGGGCCAAAGCAGCCACTGCGGTGCAACACAGCCACCTTGACAGCGACCTTGATTAGGTCCTTGATAACCCTCTGTGCCTGGGGACGGCTGTGCGTGTACTCTTTGGACACACGGTAGAGCTCATCGAGCACCTGGCTGCTTGTCTCATCGATGAAGAGATGAGCCACAGACCGACCCGCCATCTTACTCAGTAGCTTCTTCTCTGCTTGCAGTGCTAGACTCTTTGAGCTGAAGGACTCCATGGTTCCTGGAGGGTGGGTTACGTGGTCTGTCACTGGAAGAAAGGCCATAGGTTTCCTCAGAAAGAAAGAAATGGCTTTTCCCTGTTCTATTGCTTCTTTGGTTTCTGTCTCATCACTGTCTTTGTAATCTCTCCCCTGGGGGCCCCTGAGTTCTCTATGCATTCCTCCTGCTTTTTTCCTTTAGTGCTGTAGGAAATCCTTTTTTTTTTTTTTTTCTGTTTTGTTTATTTATTGTTTGTTTGTTTGTTTGTTTGTATGGGGATCAAACCCTTGACCTTGGTGTTATAACACCAGGCTTTAACCAACTGAGCTAACAGGCCAGCCTCTATTTATTTATTTACTTATTGTTTTATTTATTTATTTATTTTCTAGTGCTGTAGGAAATCTTGATCTCCGAAACAGCCCAGAGCAGCAGTGATAGCTCTGGCTGGAGGAATATGGGCACACGAGAGGCCAGCCTACCCTAAGTTAGTAGGTTGTTGCTGCTACAATAGAGAAGATAGGGCTTACTGGCAGATAATTCTCACAGTTATTATGTTTGGACACTGACTAGGCTCCATATGTCTGTGAGGTATAGTTATTACTATCCTTGTTTTATAGCTGAGCAAACTGAGGCTTATGTTAAATAATTTACTTGAGATCAAACAAAACTTTTTCTGACCCCCACAACCCATGTCACCTAGTTTGCTGTATTGCCTTTAAAGAAGTGAGAAGCATAGGGGTCCCAGGAGTCCTAATAAGAATAATGACTAACATTTACTGAGAACATACTATGCACCAAGTGCTTTATGTGAATTATCTCAGTCTTTCCAACCCTCTATAAGGTAGGTATTCCCATTTTGCAATGAAAACAATAAAAAAAACTGAAGCTAAGGGAAATTGAGCAATTTGGCCAAAGTCACTAGTAAATGATAAAAATAGCCTCCAAACCAAATGATCCAAAGAAACCTTGGAATACTTTCAATGAAGTTGAAACACACCGAGGAAGCATAAGAAACAAGCACCTCAAGAAGGGCAGGCAGTACTAAGGGCCTACGGATTTCTGCTGGGCTGAACTGAGGACCCTCCTGGTGGCGTATCAACTGCATATATCCAGGGTTCTCTCCCCATGGTCTTCGCCTGTGGTTCTTCTGGTTGTTTTGCTTCTTACTTCCCCTTCCCCTGCTCTGCAGGATGTGGCTGTGACCACAGTGAGGAGCAGCCTCGCCCTCTCCCCCAAACCAAAATGGGAGTCTGAAGAGGCAGGGGAGATGAGTAACTGGGGGTTTCTTCCCCAGCTGAATCATTCCAGTGGGAACCTGGAACCTTGCTTTGCTCCCAGCTTGCCATGAGGCTTTCTGGGCCATGCTCTCCAGCCGGAAGAGGAGATTGGTCCATGTGAGCCTTCCTTCCTCCTTCACCTTCCTGTTACCAAGCTCTCCATTGCCCCCCTTGCCATCTCACATTTGGTCTGCTGTGCTCTCCCTCTCTCCCTGTGTTGGTCTTACTTTTTCTCTTATTAGGGTTTTGCCCTACGATCCTCTGGCTTGGCCATGCTCTCCCTCTGGCCCTTACCCCATCTGCCTCCTAAGATTTCCTTACATTTCTCAGTACTCTGTCACATACCTGTATCCACCCGATCCCTCAGCCCTGCCCCCTCCCCCATCCCAAACCAGGTCTTTCAGAGGCTGCCTTATGCCAGGGAAAACTAAGATCTACTGAGGACCCAAGAATCCTACAAGTGGGAGTTTCACAATATGAAAAGCTAAGGCTGAAAGAGCTGGGGACTCTTCTGTTACCATCACCCCCAAAGCCTACCCTTCCATTATTACCAGTCCCTCACCTGCGGTGTGCTGATGTCAGTCTTGCCTTGGATGCTCCCGGAGAACTGACAGAATAGAGAAGCTCCTAAGTGAGAAACCCTCTGGCCTGGCCCCACCTCTCAAGCTCCACCTACCTTCTCTCCACTCAACCTCCAGTTCATCATCACCGTCACCAAGAAGTCCTGTGGCCCGAGAGCAGCCTAGAAACAAGACAGAGGTCAGAAGGAATAGATTCTGTGGGAACAATCTTGATTCTTGGAAGTGGGGAGGAGGGATTGCACATTCCCCACTCTGAAATTGTTTGCTTCTTTCCTCACTGCCCAATTCCTTGAAATCCTGTTATATTTCTGCGGTACTGGGGAGGATGTAAAGTCCAAATTGCTGGGATGGGGGTCAGTGGGGAAAGTTCTGAAGATTGAAGGATGGTACAATGGAGCAATGTTACCACAAGCGTATTCTTCCAGTGCCTGGCAGGTGAGGGTGGCACAGACTGTCCCAGCCCTAACACTGGAAGGAGAAAGGTGCTGGGGCCATGGCTGCTGAGCCATAGGTGACCACCAGGTGTCAGCACAGCACTGAATTACTAGAGGAACAAGCCTGAGGAGCTTTGTAACCACTAAATGTATACAAAAATAAGTCATAGGATCCCTGCACCCGGCCAGCTATCAAAAAAAAAAAAAAAGTCACAGTTCTTAAGTGAGGCAAAAATATTTACCATCAGGAATATTACAGCCTGGGCCTGGCCAGTTAGCTCAGTTGGTTAGAGGGCAGCTGTATAACACTAAGGTAACATGGTTTGGATCCCCATGCTGGCCAGCTGCAAAAAAAATAGAGAAAAAAGAAAAAGAATCTTATACCCTGGTCAGGGAGATAAACTTAAGCATAGACAAATATAATACAAGTCAATAGAGTTGAAGATAGAGGCTTGGAAGGATGGGTCCAACTATTTAACAGCCGGCGATGGGGAAGAAGTGCTTCCCAGATGATGGGGACAACATAAGCACATGCAGGGAATAAACATACTACAGGGCATACTCAGGAAGTACTGATTTATTTTGTACGTCTGGTTGTTTCAGAGATGAGTGAAGAAGGAAAGGACAAGATCATGGCAGGCTTTAAAGAAGTTGCTCATGAGTTCAGGTTTTTCCTATAGGCAGTGGGGAGCATTAAAGATGTTTGATCAGGGAAATGAAATAATTAGCTCAGTGGGAACATGTTAGATACTTCAATAAATAAATACAAGAGACCTTGGGACTTGCTGATTTTACAAGAAAGAAGTTTTTTTGTTTTTTTTTTTAAAGATGACCGGTAAGGGGATCTCAACCCTTGACTTGGTGTTGTCAGCACCACGCTCACCCAGTGAGCGAACCGGCCATCCCTATGTGGGATCCGAACCCGGGGCTTTGGTGTTATCAGCACCGCACTCTACCGAGTGAGCCACGGGCCGGCCCTACAAGAAAGAAGTTTTAGAAGAGGGGAAAGGATTGAAAAGTTGGTTGGTTTGAAAAGTTGAAGAGTAAATCGAAGTTCAGAAGCATACCACTGACTCCAAAATCCTTGGTTCTCGTCCCCGGAGACAGGGTTGGGTCTTGACTCCTTTCTTCTTCCCACCCCTCTCTTCATCACTCCCAAGGTCCAGAGCTGAGAGTCTTTGATATGACTTGGTTTGGGAATTGTTGACAACTCTTTAAAGGAGTTTGGTAGTGAAGGGATGAAGTGAAATGGAGTGTTTAAGAGGATGGAGAAGTGGATTGAGAGAGGGATTATTTTTAGCTTTTAGTTGAGCAAATTTGTAGGCTGAAAGGAGCCAGTGGAGAGGGAGGCTTAGAAAATGCAAAGGAGAGGGAATAGTTATGGAGTAAGGTATGGGGGCAGATGGAAAAGAATAGACTAACAGTTCGGGGGAGGGAAGTGAGAGGTGAGAAAGGGAGGTAGATTTTGTTGAGTGTGTTCTGCTGGATTTTATGTAAATATCCTATTTAATTCTCGCAATAGCTTTATAAATGAAATGCCACTATATCCTTTCTGCTGATGGGAAAAACTGAGGCTTAAAGAGGTTATATAACCTGTCCCCATGTTACAGAGCTACCAAATGGCAGAATGAGGACCTTGTGTGATTCTCAAGCATATGTATTTTCTGATAATTATCTCACAATGTTATGAGGTAATAACTCAATCTCACAATGAATGTGGCAGCATTCTACTTCTGCACACTTTATCAATACATTGATCACACATTCTGGGGACAAAACTAGGTGGCACTACCAAAATTACAGGAAAAGTAAAAGTCCTTGTTATAAGAAACTTATAATCTACTTGGAAAACAAGAACAAGGGAAATGAAAATACAAGAAGATACAAATACAGTAATAACTTCCAAATCCAGAATTCTGTTACCAACTCTTTACCTGTTTACCTCTCTGGCTTCAACTCTTATCTGCTCAAGCCATGTTGGAATTTTCTTAGTGCCTCCAATACTCACTGTAGCAGTCGGTTTCTCTTTCTTTCTCTCTCTCCTTCCCTCCATCTCTTCCTCTGCTCTAGACCTTCCTACTTCTTGTCCCTCTACCCAAAACTCTCTTCCCATGCTTACCTCTTCCCTGTCCTGTTAATTTCTACTTGTTCTTCAGGTCTCAGCTGAAAAGTCATATTTTGTGAAGCTATTCATGACTCCCTAAACTACTTTATTTTTTTATTTTTATTTTTATTTTTTTCTTCTAAAAGATGACTGGTAAGGGGATCTTAACCCTTGACTTGGTGTTGTCAGCACCATGCTCACCCAATGAGCCAACTGGCCATCCCTATATGGGATCCGAACCCGGGGCCTTGGTGTTATCAGCACCGCACTCTCCCAAGTGAGCCACAGGCCAGCCCCCTAAACTACTTTAGACCCCTCTGTTTTGTATTCCTGTGGAACCGCATACCTCCTCTATTGTAATAATCACTCTTCACTGTCATTTGTGATTTTTATTAACTGCCTTTCCACTAGATGTAAACTCCAGAGATTATGTTTTTCTGTGTGCACAGTGCCTGGTACATACTGTGCTCAATAAATATTTGCTGAAAGAATAAATTCAAAACAACCAAGAACCAGGAGTTAAGGGGAAAATGGTAAAAATATAACAGTCACATGTAAAAATATTCATTTATTTCACTCCTGGGGAGGTCTTTATTTTCTCTTAATCTATACCCATTTCTA